TTTTTCCAAAAGACGAGTATAACCAATTTTATATTTATTTTTTTTTTTTTTTTTTTTTTTAACCGGGCTTCTTAAACCAACAAGACGTGTTTATTTTATTTAGGTCATGACCTCAATAAACCAAAAAATAATCCATCTGAGGCTACTTTTCGGGGGAAGGCGATATATCCCAGATCAACTACTGAAAGTACGTGAGGGAGAATTTTCAGACAACATATTTTACTTTTAATTTTACTGATATTAAAATGTCTCTCTGTATTTTGGTCTACATACTCCTGAAGAGGATTTAAGCACTGAATGCAAAAAGCGTACAGAAACATCTCTAATCAGCGGCATAAAAAAAAAAAAGTAGCTACTTTAACCTACTTTTTATAATGCAGATATGGTTTTTATTTTTTAAAAAAATATGTATCTGCCTGTGGAGTTAACATTTGTAAATGAAGTTAAGAATTAAAATAAATACAAAGAGTATTTATATACTAAAAGAGCTTCAATCCAAAGTAATGTTTTCACAGTAGTATCCACTCTATGATACGTAAAACACAGAGGACAAAGTACAGTTCATGATTTTAAATAATTCCTTTTCTCAGTCCCTATATATACCTGCAACAGTATGCGTTACCAACTCTGTGCTGAAATTCCGTCACAAAACATGAGATTCCTTTTGCAAACACAGGGAAAAATTATTGCCGGATTATTTTTAGTTCTGCATTTTCAGATTTGGTATTTAGCACAACTTTGAGATTATATTTTGTAAAACCTAAAGTTTAGGGAGTATCATCGTCACCCATCATCCTCCCCCAGCAAAACAGCAGCAGGATACTTCTGTTCGATGTCCAAAAAGACATTAAATCCAAACAGAACTATAAGATGACTTCAGAAAAATCCATTGAAGACCCTACTAGAACACTGCTAGAACTATTTTTGGCAATAATTTTTTTCCTTAATGTCATTCAAAACCACTGGACTCTCTTTTTGCTGGAACTTTTCAAAACAGATTCAATAGATTAGAGGTTTCACCATGAATATTTCTGACCTAATGCATGAAGTCTGGCAATATATAAAAAGTTCCTATGATCGTACAGAGAAGCACTAACAACTTCACGCTCTGGAACACAGACTTGAAAGCTGCTTGCTGAAGCACAGGACAAAGGGATTTCATTTTGCCAGCAACAATGCCATGAAGTGTCTTTTGCTGTCCCTATAAAAACCTACCCAAATTTCCCACGTGAAAATCTTCAAAGTTTCCTTAATTTAAAATTTCACTGGCATTTCATAAGTTGTAAAACACACTTGGTATCACCTACAAAAGTGGTGTTAAGTAATCAGCATGATCACACCACCAGCATTTATCAGGCTACAGTGCAGTCTCTAAAATGTGTGCTAGCAATAGCCAGACCTCTTCCACAATTCGTAAATATTTACAGAAATAAATAAATAAATAAATCACAATCCACTGATTTCTACAAAACATCTCAAATCAAGAGCCTGCCACATTCAGGAAAGCAAAAATTATTTTTTGTTCTTCCTAATCCTGTGTTCTTTTTTCAGTTCTGTCCTCTATCCCCAAAAACTGCTTTTTGCCTTTCTAACAATTCTGTTGCTGTCTGTTCTGAAAGACACAAGTTATCCTACCTAACAATAACATCCAGGCCTATCAGTTACTAAAGAAATCCCACTTTTCTTTAAATCTACAGCAACTTCTTGATTACAAAGCTTTTTTTGCACACCCAATTCACTTTTATACTAACTGAACACAACCTAACAACGCAGTTACTAGATTTGCTGAATTGCTTTATTTTCTCCTGAAAGAAAACATGAATTTTTATATATGGTATCTCATCATTAAAACATGCACTTTTACTGCCATAATGCCCTAATCACCTCTGGAATATATCCAACTTTCAGTTTGGATCAACTACTCGAACAGATTGAAAAAAAAAAAAAAAACACCCATACCCACCCAGGTTTTTCAAAACTTCCATGCATGTTGTTTCCTTCAAAATAAATCTACCAACAGCTTACAAATTACAGTTGAGCTAATATCTGAAATTATTTTAATGTGTTACATTAATTAATGATGCTTCATTATCATAAGCCCTGATTAGTTCTCTTCATGCAAGTACAGTGAAGTGGCTTTTCAAAATTATACAAAAAACTGGGAACGGAAAGGAGAAATTATCATTGAGGTCAAATCAAACCTGAAATACATGATTTTTATTGTGTGGAGTGGGTTACATCTTTTCCTCCTCTACATATGTCAGTCCCAAATTTTTTTTATTCTGCATTAAAAGATACATTTTCAATCCTTACATTGAAGTGAAATGCTGATACTTCCCCAGCCACACTGAAGTACTTTCAAGTTTGTTGGGCAGTTCTTCCTATTTTCAGATCACTTTTTACTCTATGCTATTTTTGACTAATTCCATTCATTGTTAAGTTTAAAAGGAGTTTCAAGATACCCTTTTCCGCAAGTTCCAACATATGAGAGAAGATGATGGTTTAGATCTGAACAGTAAGAAAACTTATTTTTAGAACGTAAATGAACATGTAATGATTTCCAAAGAAGGAGGATCTTGTTATGAAGGTAAGGATGAGAATGGGAAGTTCCCACAGACATTTAAATTACTGGTTTTTTTTTGGTTTTTTTTTTTTTTTTTTTTTTTTTTTACTTCCTTCGATAGCTTTGAGTCTCTCCCTCTCATATGTGCAAAGTGTAATTTAAAATAATCAGATCTACACCGTATCTCAGCTCTCGCCCTGCTACCACTGCTCAGTCGTAATTCACTCCAGCTCCGCACAGAACAAACAGGAAGTTTCAGGCTCCAGGTACCATCAACCTGAAGAGGAAGTAAACTGCAAAACCTCAGAGCCCAAAATAAAAACACATTAACATCTGAACAATCCAGTTCTTCCGCAATGGCAATTACTCAATTTTCTATCTCAATAAACTTGTACACGGTAACACAAATTTGCATCATTTCATCCAAAGGGAATTCACTCTTCTAAATCTAGACAGATATAAAGAGCAAAAGGTGGTTTTAGTGTTTATATATGCAAAGGTAACCTCCAAAACTAAGGTCATTCTCCCAAACCAAGATCCTGAAAAAAAGCTTCTTGGATCTGGGCCAGGAAGCCCATACGATTATGGACTTTTTATCTGGCTAAAACGTAAAGAGCCTCAAAGGAGATACATTCATTTTGTGAATCTTGTATGGGAATTCCAAAGACAGACACCAAACAAAAAAATCACACAGCCTCCAACAGGATTCTTCCTAGGTGACCTACCATAAACAAATCAGGGCTATAACAGCCATGGATTTTGAAGCAGAAGCATAAAAAATTCTGCTCATCTCCAGACAACACAAGAATTGCCAAAACATCTTCAAGTGCACCTCTGAGCCAGAAAACTCACGTCAGTCCGTATGCGCTATTTAAAGCAAAACAAAGCATGAAGTGTTTTTACATCTAACATTAATTGGATTGCTGTAACTGAGTTATAGTTATTGAACTGTCATTGCAAGGCACCTTTTAGTTTCAACACACAGCAAAACTGCACCCCAGCTAGCAGAGGGCAGACAAACACAGCTAGGGCATAGCGACAGAAAGGAAAAAACAGTCCAGTATCTACCAAGTCTTCATGAAATCTCTAATGCTAGATAAACCTATTCTGTGCTCCTCCTACCACTTATAAACAGAAATTCAGACAAATGTTTTTCAAACACCTAGGTGAATAAGTCAGTCCACACATACCACTCTCCGCAGTGCACAGCCTTCAGTACCCCCACAGCAGCTGTAGTCTGTCGTTCAAAACCTTGTCCTATGTGATCTGCATGGGCTCGTGTCCGGTCTTCAAACAGCATTTCACGGGGTTCACTAGTTCGAGGTAGGTACTGCAAGTTTTTTATTTCATTGGTAGTTCTGTATAAGAAAAACAGTAGTAATGATATAGAAATTTCTCGTAATTACCTATTTCCACCATAGCCAACAGCACTGTTTTTCTCCCTTCAGTGAGGACATACAGTCAAATGAGAAAGACAGTAACACTTGTGACAAATTAAAAATGTAATCAGCTATGCAAAAAAATCAGAAAAAATATGCAATTAAAAAAAACAAACAAAAACAGTTTCAGGGCCCTGAGCGCACTAAAAGGCCCTAATGATTGAGCAGCCTCGCCTGCAGTCTCCACGCACAAACCCAGACCAGAGACTAGAGCCCAGGAGCTCTATTTCAGCTCAGGCCAGGCCCTTCAGTCCTGGCCTGAGCCATGCTGCAGGAGCACTGGTCTTCACCTCAGCCAGAGGCGTACTGGGCCACAGACTTGCTTTCCATCTTGACCTCAAGATGGCTTTGTCATGACAGACCTTCCTGGCAAGCAGGGGACCTGATCCTCACTGGCAGACTGACTCCCTGGCTTGACCGCAGACCTGCCCCATCATCACACACTTGTCTAACGCACTGGAGTCTGGGCTGAATCCGGTCCCCAAACCTGCCTCCCCCAGGCTCTTTGAGACCAGGCCCTGCCGTGATCAGCCCCTGGCAAGGACCTGCCAGCCTTTCCTGCTTCCTGACTATTAGATACGCATTTCAGTTGTCCCTGAAGTCATTCTTCATCATTCGTGCTTCTACCAACCTGCTGCGAAATGTGTATGTATATTTAGTTCCATGCTGTAGAACTGGGAATGAGAAGCAGAATCAGATTATTTCTTCAGGGTTAAATGAAAGTGAAGGAAACACTGCAGAGCAAGAACAGAGCCACAAGCCCATTTTGTTGGCCACCCGGAGCCAACACTGTGTGCCACACCTTCCCAAGGGCTCCTTCTAATCATAGGATAGCCAAGGTTGGAAGGGACATCTGGAGACTGTGCAGTCCAACTTCCCCCGCTCAACTAGAGCATACAGTCCAGTCAAATTCTGAGCAACTCCAAAGATGGAGACTCCACAAGCTCTCTGGGCAACCTGTCTGAGTGCTCAACCATCCATACAGTATTTTTTTTTCCTTCTTTTAAATGGAATTCCTTGTAATTCACATTTTGTGCCCATTACCTCTGTTCACGTCACTGTGCACTGCTGGAAAAAGTCCTTCCTACAACCTCCCACCAGATGCTTATACGTGATTCCACTGAGCCTTCCTGTCTCAAGGGTAAATCCCAACTCTCCCACGCCTGCCTCTCGTGTCACCAGACCTGCTCCATTATGCCCACGTCTGTGTTGGACTAGCGAGCCCAAAACTGGACACGATACTCGTGATGTGTCTCACCAGTGAAGAGCAGAGGGGAAGGATCGAAGGATCACCCCCCTCAGCCTACTGGCATGGCTTTTCCTAACCCTGTCCAGGAAGCCACTGGCCTGCTTTGCCACAAAGGCACCCTGATGGCGTACGGTCAACCTGACATCCACCAGGACCCCCAAGGCCTTCTCTGTTGGGCTGCTGGCGCTCGGGGTTATTCCTCTTGGGTGCAGGGCTTCGCACATCCCTCCGTTAGCTCCAGCAGTCCCCTGAGCTGGCCCATGTCTACGGCCGCTCAGGGGTGCTCTCGCTGGCAGTGCAGCCCCATGGTGCATCAACCACTCCTTCCCGTTTTGTATTGCCTGCAAGCTTGCTGAGGGTGTGCTCTCTCATCATTATGGGATGGCCCTCACCTCAGCCATTACTGAAGATGCTGAGGAGTATTGGTGCAAGGTATCCATGTCTGGGTTACTCCAGTAGCGACTGTCGTTCAGCTGGACTTTATGCTGCTGATCACAACCCTTTGAGCACAGCAGTTAAGCCTGATGAGTTAACATGATCTACCTCACTGTCCATCAGTCTAGTTCGTCCTTCATTGACTTGTCTATTGCTATGATATGGGAGACGTGTCCAATGTGGAAAGCCTTGCTAAAGCCAAGATAAACAACACCCCTGGCACTGCTCTCCTTCTCTGAGCCAGTCATTTTGTTTTAGAATGCATCAGGTGGATAAGGCATGATTTCCCCTATGTAAATCAATACTCCTGATCATCATCTTGTCCCTCACATTCGAAATGGCATCCTTCCCAGGATGAAGGTGAGGCTGACTGGCCTGCAGCTCCCCAGGTCCTGCTATTTGTCCTTCTAAATCACTGGAGTCGCATTTGCTTGCCTGCCCATGGCATCTAGTTGGAACTAGACAATCTATGAAGTCCCTTCCAACCCAAACCTTTCTATGATTCTGTAGGGCTAATGGCTGTAAAGTAGGAAAGGGCAGATTTAGATTAGACATAAGAAGGAAATTCTTTACTATGAGGGTGGTGAGGCACTGGAACAGGTTGCCCAGAGAAGCTGTGGATGCCCCCTCCCTGGAAGTGTTCAAGGCCAGGTTGGATGGGGCTCTAAGCAACCTGGTCTAGGGGGAAGATGTCCCTGCCCATGGCAGGGCGATTGGAACTAGATGACCTTTAAGGTCCATTCCAACCCAAACCATTCTATGATTCTGTGATCTTGGCCTTTTCTGTGTCCTTTGTCTCCAGGCCCTTTGCCCCATTTAGACACCTCACATTTTCCCTAGTCTTTCTTTTGCTGTCCATATGCCTGTAGAAGTCCTTCTTGTTGCCCTTCACATCCCTTGCTAAATTCAACTCCAGATGGTCTTTGGCTCCAGCTTCCCCTTCATGGTTGGGCAGTGTCTCTATACTCCTTCTGAGGCACCTGACCCTGCTTCCACTTCTTGTATACTCCCTTTTTTATGTTTGAATTTTGAACAAGACAACTCCAAAGACATAATTTCTCATGATACGTAATTCTGAAGGTCTGCAGAGGACATCCCTACTCTTAAGCTGGTACTGACACACAGTACCACAGCAAAGCTTAAAGATGTCATTTAATGTTGGAGGTATTACCTTTCAGATGAGAGAGGAGCCCTTGTCCCTTGAGGTCTTTAATGATCCACTCACATTTAAGAACCGGGAAATGAATCTGTCTCCTGGTATACAGCAGTAGTTATATGCCTGTTCACATTTCCCTGCAGTTTTCACTTTAAATTCGTACTAAAGCTCCAATAAGGACCAGTACCTTACTTGGCTAGATAGTGAACAATTTTAAAAAAAAAAAAAATCCACATCCTTATAAAATAAAGCAACTTAGAAGTGTATTTTGAGATGAAGATTTACAGAAATTTATACTAAGATATAGTATCAGCCAATAAAAGGTCTGTGATAAAATGAATCTATAGAGAAAGAATATTAACCAGACATTCATGAAGCAAAATAATTCAACATACCTCTTCCTTTTGAAAGGTGACTTTGGCATATCAGCCACAGGGATCATCTGTTCTCCTGGGCGTACCCACATAATGGGACCATCATCACTGTCTTTACGACTCTCTAATTTTAAACTAGAAAGTGTTCCCCATGGCAGTGTACACAAAAAGAAAAAAAAAACCACAATTTTGAAGTGAGTTACTTCAAAAACTTTTTAAAAGCAGCCTTTATCTGTCACAATGAAAACATTTATTAGATCACTCAATTATCTAAGCAAGTATCACATACTCTCACTTTATTATAACAGTACTAGGCAGTATATTGTCCCCCTTCTCCCAACCCATTCCCTTCTGTCCTTACTTTTAAGAAGGGCGATTCTTCCAACATATCAAGGAATTCAGGGAAGTAATCCCCCACTTCCTCATCAACTGCTCCAACCAGGCTGATCTGTCTCATTGGGCCAGCTCTATACGTACCATGAGAGTATGTTCTTTTTACCTACAAGTAGAATATGACAGCAAACATTATACCAAGTCCACTGGCGCTCACAGTCTTCATTCAATAAACACCTTCAATCTCTAGGCTTATGTTTTCAGATTGCTATTAATCCTACAGTCTTCAGTATACTCGAGATTATTATGAAGTCAATTACTATGAACTCATCACCAAGGACACAAGTTCTTATTATATACATGACAACTTGTATTTTATTTATTTTGAAGTTGGAAGGTAAGATTGAGTAACTATTTGTTGTCTTTCAAGAAAATAACATTCCAACGTAGTAACTGTGAAAAGCTATTAACGTATTTTCTGCTCAGTAACTAGTAAATAAGGATTCTTACCTGCATTACTCAAGTCTAGCCGAATTTTTACCTTTTTCCTGTAACAGTCAGGCAGAACTCTGAGTTACAACTAATTAAATTCTAAACATTTCCTCTGCTCATCATCCTCTCCGGCAAGGCCTCAGCATGAGCACATTAACTGGAGCTAATTATCACAGTGAAGACACAGCTCATAAAGAGTTAGTACAGGAAGAGAGAGAACGACAGTTTTTCCTTCGTTTTTCCTGTGCTGTGCTAACACATCTTGTGCGCCCTTAAAACTTTAAGGGCGGTAATATTCACTCCTCATGAAACACCTTTTATTTTGAACTTGAACAGAAGCATATACTGTTATAAGGGGGTTTTTTCCCCCCACCAATCTGTTCTGTCATGTTACATCCACAAAACACTTAGGCATGAGATTGATGAGGATCATTTCCCCTTAAGGTTCTGATTTCTTATTTAACAGGCTGAAAGACACAGTGGTATTATTAGACGAAATATGACCAGATCAGAACAGAGGGAAGAGCAAATGGATTACTGCACGAATCAAGTAAGACTCCTGCACTGCATCTCTAGGTATTCTGCATCCAAAGCAAGACAAGGAAAAAAGGTGCAAGGAAAACAGTTAATGAAGCACTGCTTAGCTATGGTCTGCAGCCAAACAGACCATTAAATTCCTAGTAATTACAACAGCGCAGAGGAGAATTAGGAGCAGTTCCTGAAGACAGGACTAAATCATACAAGATAGAACAATATCATGCCCTTCTGAGAAGCTAGACAGACGTAACCAGATGCATTCCAGAAGTGCAAAACCAAACACTCTTCTTCAGATCATCTCAGTCATCATACACTCCCAGGAAATGGAGGACTGACTAAAAGTAGGATTTTACAAACTGTAATGGCTAATGTAATGGCAAGCCAGCACAGCCATACTGAAAAGAGAAGTACTGCTAGACACTAGTATTCCCCTATTCCCCAAATCCTTAGTCACACATTTCTGCACCTTTTTTGCACTGATACCTGGTGATTTTGTCATAAGGCATCAGAAAACACACATTTTTGTTGAATCTGCACCTGATCAGTGCTCAGCGGTATCTGCACTGGCACAAAGCATGAGGAGCGCTCAACCACTGCAGTAGGACAAGGTGGGGACAGTCACTTATTACTGGAACTGGTCTATCCAGTAAGCCAAAGGAGCCTAAAACCACTTTCTGAAGCTACAGAAAGTCATAAACCTGTTACTCGCAGTTTAGTGATAAACCTAACATGCAAAATGATGGTTCTTCCACTGCCATAAGTAGCTTAGTATTCCATCATTCCAAGCCAGGATATTAAGCTGCTGTTTTGATCCACATCCCTGATTAAAGGGAACTGTTTTTCTGCCTTTTTCCTTGCTTTCTTCTGCTACTGCTACCATTCACACAGCATAGGATAAACTAGCTGTGGAATCACAGAATCACAGAATAGTAGGGGTTGGAAGGGACCTCTGTGGGTCATCTAGTCCAACCCTC